TCATTTTTATGTTTGAAGCAGTGTTTAGTACCTCATATTATGAAACTCAAGGACTGCATCCTAAACACACCTCTACAGTATTTGGATTTTATGTTACACTTGATTTTTTTAAAACCAAATCACTTTGTTGATATTATTGCTTTTCTAGTTGTTATAAGTGAAAACTTTCTTTTTAAATGTGTTTGTAGTTTATGTTTTACAGAGATGGTTTTGGTAGTATTTGTGATAAAATGGTTTTTGCATATGATTATTATAGGGGAATATATTTATAGAACTCTACTTGTGTACCTTGTTGAATTCTGTTATTGAAACTTAAAACTTCTGAGCTCACACAGTTAATATTTATATCTAGAGTGCATAAGAAAAAAATTCTTTATCTTATAATTTTTAGGATATAGAAGCAAGTATTGCTTCTATTTGTTTTAAATGCAAATTCCTTTTTTCTTTGCATTTTAGATCCTATATGTAAGAAACAACTTTTTAAAATAATTTGTACACTGGTAATATTTGGAATAAGTACCATAAGTTCATGTAGACTGTACTTCCTCAATAGATTTCTCTATTTAATCATAGCAAAATTTATTTCAAAACTACAAGTCTTTAAGAAAATTTAATTATGAAATTATGTGGCACTACTGAAAACTTAAAGATAGAAGAGCAAGATATATTAATGTTTATGCAAATTAATAATTATGTATAATAACAAGTAATTGATTATAGTGTCTATTCTACATTGACACATTAGTATATCTAGTATAAAGTTAACAGGCAATGATTATGAACATGTTTAATCATTTGCTTTATGTCTGACTTGATTTTATGTTATTAGGAAAATAATATTTGGCTCAATAGGAAAGCTGGAATAATAGCTCAAATGTTTTTGAGCCTTTTCCCTATGGTTGGTGTTGCTCTTTAAATTTTATGTTATTCATTTATTTCATTATTACAACAACCTCATACGGTAAATACTATTGCAGATGAGAAAAGTATAAATTTTATAGAGAAGGTCACATAGCCCTTAAATGTGGGAGCTCTGGGGAGCTGAGCTTCCATATGCCCCTCCCCAACTACTATGCTACATCTTGGAGGAAGAAAAAAGTAATTGACAGATCCTTGCTTAAGTGATATAATATTAAAGGAACCTTGGTGCCACAGTGGCTAGGTACTTGGCTGCTAACAAGTTCGAACTCACCAGTCGTTCTGTAGGAGGAAGATATGGCAGTCCACTTCTGGAACATTGAGCCCTAGGGGGAGGGGGAGTTCGGTGTCCTACAAGGTTGCTGTAAGTCTGAATGAAGCAGCTCACTGGCCTTGGGTAAGATCATGTCTGGGAGCAAAGGGGAGACTAAAATTAGAGAAAGCAATGCCGCTAGACTTGAATGAAAATGGAATCTGTGACGAGGTGTGAAAATGGGGAATTAAGGAACACTTTGGAAAGTTTTCAAAGGAGAATATCTCTATCCTATCCTAGGGGGTTCTCTTTTGTTTCTTGGACAACTTAAGAGAGGATACTCAAGCTAAGATTATCAATCAATAAAGAAAATGTTTTTATTTTTTAAAAAAAAGAAATCCTAAATAATGGTTATTTAGTGAAGAGTTGAGAGCCCTTGGGTCGTGCAAATGGCTCAAGTGCTGGATTACTAGCAGAAAAGTTGGTGAGTCAAACTCACCATGGGGAGCCTCTGAAGTAAGGCCTGGTGACCAGCATTCGAAAGCTCACAGACGGAAAAACTGTGGAATAGCTCTGCTCTGCACATCTCAACTAACGCAGCTAACAATAACCACAGGGGAAAGGAAATGTGTTCCCCAGCCCATAATTTCGGTCTTCATCTTGAATAAACTACAGTCATCCCATTCTTGTACATCCCTCCGTAATTTTCCTGTAGGGTATCATTATATATGCATGTAGCCTTTTAAAAACGATGCACAAACCATACACAAATTAGATTGGATTGTTGAGTCACTTCTTGTTGTTTAAACATAGCTTGATTTTTCAAAATATGTCAAAAGTCTTCTGCATAGTCATGTAATTATTTAATCAGTCTCTAATTGAAAGATGTTTAGGTTCTCTTACTCTTTTGTTTTTGAACATTTTATTGTGTTTTAGTAGGAAGTTTACACAGTAAATTAGTTTTTCAGTCAGTAATCCCCATTCACAAATTGCTGACTGATGCTGGTTGCAGTCTCCCGAAGGTGTCTGCTCTCTCCCCCTTTTCTCTCTGGGTCCCCGCTCCCATTCATCTGGTTTCCCTGCCCCACTCAGCCCGGTCAGCCTTGCTTTGGGGCAGATGTTGCCCTCTGGGCCTTCTTCCAAGGAGCAAGTGCTCCTTGAGTCTGTTTGTTTTCCAGGCCTGTCTGCTGTTTGGCTGGAGGGGTCCCTTGGAAGTGTCCTCCGTTTTAAGTTAGAACATTGTCTCGGGATGTTAGTCTTGGGGTTCCTCCAGTAGTACCGTGAGGGATCTGCTGTAAATATTTTGTACACAGATCTTTGTGCACGTGTGTGATGTTTTCCTTTATAATAAAGGATATCAAACCCACTATTATCGAGTTGATTCCAACTCATAGTTACAGTAAAGGATATCCTCACTACTTTTCATCCTTA